CATAATATTTAATTTTCGTTCTCTTCAAAACTAAAATGACCTTTATGAGCGAAAAAAAAAATGATGGAACTTTTTTTTTAAACCAGGAATCCTGATTTTTTGAGAAGCAAGGGAATCAAGTAACTGCACCGCAGAAACTTTTAAAGATTAAAAATCATAAGCGGGAAGTTTAATTTTAATTGAAGATAAACAATGGAAGGTCTGCAGAAAAGTTGGCGAGTCCACAATTTGATTTGTATTTTTTTAACGTAAATAATATTTATCTGCGAGACATGGGGGGGAAAGGCGTCAATAAGAAGCTATGCCACATATTTTTTTTCAGCCGGCTTCCAGCAGCAGATAAAAATTGTTGAAATGGGGCTTCTGGGATCACAAAGATTGAGATATTCGGACCCATTTAATTCGGAATGTCTTTCTTATCTTCTTTATTGAAAATATTTTTCGAATCAGGGACACAAGAATGGACGATTTTTCAACAGCAGCGCAGAGGATGTTGCGCTGTCGTCGTCGTCGACGTCGCACGCGACGAGTTTGATTGGTGGTCTCGGAGCGCCCGGAAAGAGCCTGAGTTCGTCGATGCTGTGTTCGTCACTGTCGGCGGAGACCCTGGAGCCCAAGTCCGACAGGTGCCCCAGGAAGTTCCGGTTCTCGTTCGTCAATTGGGCGACCCCGCCTTAAAAGCCGTTGAGGTTCCAGTCAGGGTGTCGTTATATAAGGAGTTGGCGTAAGAGAACGTCGAAAGAAGCAGAATAAGCTTGTGCCCCCCTCCTCTCGGGTCTAACCTTTATTCTCTTTATTTTTTTATTTTTTTTGTATGCGGGAACTGAACGCTGTGCTGTATTTGGTTCCGTTTGAGTGCCGGATGCAAATTGTGCGTCTATATAGCAGATTTGTGTTCTAGCTAGTTTGGAAAAATCTGTTCCTGATTTTTATTTTTCACTGATTGCTCGAGGGGTTTTATTTCTGATTACATGAGGTTCTATCATGAGCTTTGTCTTTTATGAATGCAATAATTCGGATGTTTTTTTTTTCTGTAGAAAGAAGACCTTCCCTACTCGAGTTGCATAATTCCAAATGAGAAAGGACAATCAATCGAAGGCTGAATTTCTTGTAGGATCTAAATTCAGAAATTGTATGGTATATTTCCGTTCCATTTTTGTGAAGTTTTTTTTTAAATCTATCAAATCAAGGATCAGAATGAATCTTCCGTGAGTTTTTAAAATTGTTAGCTCTCTGTAATTTTATAAATTTTTTCTGGCATAATTTGATGAAGTTTGAAGAACATATGTCAAGATGGCATGGATGCTTTCTGGTCAAAAAAGGAAAGGAAAATGTTTCGGTGATCCGAATTCGTGCAGTCTTATCAAACATCTTATCTATATGTGTGATTAAAATAGTGTCTTACTTTAATGTAGTGGAAAAAGGAATGACGCTGGATTGGGAATCGTATTGGAGGCGAACAACAAATTCATTCCCGGAAACTGACGAAATGAGATCGTGCTAGAAAATAGTGTCACTTTTTAAAACTGGAATCTCGAGACTAAAATATTCCGCGGATTAAATAAACGTATTTTTTTGCCCAAAAAACAAATGATTAAGATTCCGTCAGATAGGGGGATCAGATTTTTCCTGATTGGAGAAATTATAACCACTGTTTAGGTAATCGAGAATCATATTCGAGGCGAAGAACAATTTCATTCCCTGAATATGATCAAAATAAGATTATTTTGGCGAAATTGTCATCGTTTCAATCTCAAATAACCAGCGTTTTGCTCAACAAACGGCTGGCTAAAGATTCCACCAGAGTTGTGATCTAATTTTTAACTTGATCCAACAACTTGGTGAACAAAACTTTATTGTATCTTCAAAATCTGATGCAGATGAGTTCATGTTGGTCAAATTTCCATCGTTTCGATCGAGAGCATAAAATAGCTCGCTGGTGTATTGAAAAAAAAAA